TTCCAGAGGATGGGAGAGACTCTAGAGAAGTCCTGGAGGCGAGTATGGGAGGAGTTGACTAGGGAGCTGGAAAGCAGGAGGTCTAGGGAAGAGCGGAGTGGACCGTTAGGGTGCTATTTTGAGACAAGGTCTGAGATATATCCGGGGGCAGAGTTGTGGATGGCTTTATAAGTGACTGTTAATATTTTGAATTTTATCCTCTGGGCGAGTGGAAGCCAGTGTAGTTATTGACAGAGGGGGGTTGCAGACACTGAGCGGCTGGTCAAGTGAATGAGTCTAGCAGCTGCATTCCTGATAGACTGAAGGGGGGATATCCTGTGTAGTGGAAGGCCAATGATGAGGGAGTTGCAATAGTCAAGACGAGATATAACAAGGGAGTGGATTAGTAGTTTTGCGGTTTCCTTGGTGAGGAAGGGGCGTATTTTGGAGATGTTACGAAGATGAAGGCGGCAGGACTTGGATAGTGACTGGATGTGGGGAAGAAAGGCGATGTCCGAGTCAAGGATGACACCTAGGACCTTGGCATGAGGGGAGGTCTGGATAGTTGTGTTATCAATCTCAACTGAAATGTTGGGGGAAGGTGCATGGGCGGGAGGAAATATCATGAGCTCAGTTTTTGAAAGATTGAGTTTTAAGAAATGTTGTGACATCCAGGCTGATATGTCAGTTAGTAGATTAGTGGCACGCAAGGACACTGAGGGGGAGAGTTGTAGAGTGGGAAGATAAATTTGAGTGTCATCGGCATAGAGATGGTATTGGAAGCCATGTGAGGTTATTAGTTGACCAAGAGAAGAGGTGTAGATAGAGAAGAGAATGGGCCCAAGGACAGAGCCTTGGCGAATAGTAGATTAGTGGCACGCAAGGACACTGAGGGGGAGAGTTGTAGAGTGGGAAGATAAATTTGAGTGTCATCGGCATAGAGATGGTATTGGAAGCCATGTGAGGTTATTAGTTGACCAAGAGAAGAGGTGTAGATAGAGAAGAGAATGGGCCCAAGGACAGAGCCTTGGCGAACCCCTACAGAAAGAGGAAGAGGAGGGGAGGAGTTAGAATTGTAGGTGACACTAAAGGAGCGCATAGATAAGTAGAAGAACCACGAGAGAGCACAGTCTTGTAGGCCAAGCGACTGGAGTTTTTTGAGGAGCAGTGGGTGGTCAACAGTGTCAAAAGCAGCAGAGAGGTCTAATATCAAGAGTAAGGAATAGTGGCCATTGTTTTTAGCTGTTATTAGGTAATTAGTGAGTTTTAGGAGGGCGGTTTCAGTGGAGTGTTGAGGGCGAAAGCCGGACTGAAAGGGGGTCCAAAAGGTTTTCATTAGCGAGGTGGCAACTCAGGCGGTTGTAGATAAGGTGTTCTAGTAGTTTAGAGGTGAATGGGAGTAAGGAGATAGGTCTGAAATTATGAGAGAATATGTATTCATGCAGAATATGTATTGCACTTTTTGCTATGTATTCATGCAGAATATGTATTGCACTTTTTGCTGTGTATTCATGCAGAACGCGTGCATCTGGCACACTGTATGTCTGGAAGCTGGACCAGTTAAAAGCTTCATGGAATGCGTCTGGAAGCTGAGGAATTATTCTTCAGCTTCCAGATACACTGCATAGAGCTTTGATATTTCTGCATAGTGTCTGTTTTTCTATGTGTTTCTAAAGCAACACAACCCAAGTGCTACAGCTAAGAGTTGTAACACTAAATAAGAGTATTACAGCTTTTTTATATAATTTACCCCTTTATTATTATAGCAGATATTTACCAAGTTTTAAATATTTGCTATTATGAAGCAAAGAAATTCAGAGAACCAAAGGAAAATTATGTTAAGGGCAATCTGTCAGTGCTCCTTATCCCCACTGTCACTGTTCAGGTATTCTGACAGTGGCGGAAGCCCACTGTCGGAATGCAATAGTCCCACGAGGGGGCATGTCTCAATCCACCTCAATCCTAGCGCTGCATGACGGAATAAATGTCAGTCAAAGTACCGCAGCGCTGAATACTGAAAAATGGCCTGGATGGGAAGGGGGTTTAACACCGCGGATGTCAACTGGTTAACATGGATGGATAAAATCTGTTAGATTTCTTTTGAGCGAAATAAATCTATTAGTGTATGGCCAGCTTTAGAGTGGGATAGTTGATAAACTAAAAGAGATTTTTCAAGTTGTAATTAAGTTTGATGTTATATTATATGTTTTGGAATATCTTGAGTTCACGCAGTACAATATGTCCATGTATTTAGCAATTGTTAGAACACTTTTTTTTAGCAAGAAAGCAGATTGTGAAAAAATGAGTCAATGAGATGGCAAAAATAGAAAAAGTAACATATTCCAAAAGGGGCTGTATTTAAACATTTACAAGGATCTGGAAGAAACGGCTAGATGTATCGGGGCTACCGGTGTGATCGGTTGATTGTGTGATGTCGAGTGCGATTATTATTTTTCCTTTGCTATTCTTTCTATGTTTAAATGTAAATGGTATGTGCCTGTGTTGTTTTGCGGGGTTTTTCACGGAGTTAGGGGGTATGGCATTTTGAATGGAGGTTGAAACCAATTAGAGGTGGATCAGTGGATTAGGTTTAGATATGTGTTCATGTATTTCATTAAAACATTTTTTTAATTTAAAAGCTGAGAAATTCTGCCCTGTAGAGTAGCTTTGGCTTACCTTTTTAGCTGTTGTGCAGCTTAGGTTTGCCCTTATCCCTTCTGTATTACATGCAGTATCTGGCTGATAGGGCATGCCGAAATGTGTGCTCCACTGCAACTGTAGTACCCAAGGTTTGGAAAGCTGCATTACATAGTAAATCTCTATTGTGAACTAGGGTGCAGACAGGCTGATATTTTAAACTGGCTTAATTTGCTCCTAAACCAACAAGATCTAGCAAAATAACATTGAACTGCATGCTTAACTGTGTAAAAGCAGCCAGGTCTCAGCTGTGCATTATACTTGGACGAGAGATACAGTAAGTATGGTAAACACATTGTCCCCAATTTGAAGGAAAACAATGACTTCTTGTCAATCATGGGGGTCAGTAGTAGGGTTATACATCAGTGATGTTCACCCTGATTGCATTGAGTTGTACTTTCGTTGGCTGTTATATGAGAAGATGCTGCATGCAATCAGTGTGTGTGTTGATAGGAGTTACACACTATAGCTGTATGCTTATGAATAAAGCAGACACTACTGGGAATCCAAGGAACTAAACTTCTCTCTACCATCAGTTGAGATATCTGACAGTTGTTATCACAGAGCTTTGTATTATTGTTACAGAATTTGACTTAACGTTAGTTTTCCTACATATTCTCTCAACTGAGAATTAAGACAAACTAATAAGCTATAACTGTAGTTAGAACTGTATACATTTTGCAACAATATTACAAGTATGTTTGTGCAAAATGTGGTTAAGTATGTGTCATCTCTAAACAGGAACATCTGATTGAGAATGAGGTCTCAATACTGCGTCAGGTTAAGCATCCCAATATTATTATGCTCATAGAAGAGATGGACACAATAACGGAACTTTATCTGGTGATGGAATTAGTCAAGGTAAGAGGATTGTTCCAATTTCATTAATCATGTGTGAGCATTCTGTGGAGACTGTAATAGGATTAGAGGATTGTAAATTGGATGCCATGGTATATCCAATAATAGATTTTGATATATCCCAGTAAGAACACACTTGTTTAAACATTGCTGGGATTACATCTGAGCATTGCATAACATAGACCATTACATGATATATGATTGTGGTCAATGGGGTAAAATATTCTAAGTCTTGGTCCACCAGCAATACCTGTTAAATATAGCACCAGATATTCATTTAGCTGGTCTGAAAATGTCTGACCTATAGCCCATTGTTGTCTACATGACCTAAAATGTGTTGTTAAGCCTTTTTTCTTTTTTTTTTTTTATTATAGGTTGAGAAAAATCTTGAGAAGATGTACCACATATGTAGTATTATTACCTTAGGCATTGCTGCTATTGTGAACTGTGGGAAAGCACTGAGTGACATCCAAAACAAGCTTACCATTTTGGTGTACTGTGCTGCTTCATGGTTCCCCTTGCCCATCAATAGTCAAAGTTCACGTTTAAAGACACCTGAACTTTTTGATTTAGCTTTGGTCAGGGTATGATAAAGATTGACCTATCATTCACACAAATAGGTATTGCACCTAAAAACAGGCAGCCTACTTGTTTGAATGTATCTATGGTATAAATAGGAATATACTGGAAAATGAATTTCCCTGTACATAAAACTACAAAATTGTGTTCATTTTTAGGCAATGTCTGTTGACCACACACATAATAGTATATGCGTAACTAATATTTTTTACATTCTAAGACACATTTCTCCTTTTTCTAGGGTGGGGACTTGTTTGATGCAATCACATCTTCCACAAAGTATACAGAACGAGATGGCAGTGCAATGGTATACAACCTTGCTAGTGCGATGATGTATCTTCACAGCCTTAATATAGTCCATCGGGATATCAAACCAGAGAATCTATTAGTAAGTGGCAAGTAACATCATAATGCTCAATACATAGCGGTGAAATATTTATCTTGCATCTGTGTCTCTGTAATTAAACAAAAGATTTTATGAGGGCAATAATTAGAATAGAAAGTTCCTGAAAATAAGATCCTCACTTGCACTGTCTATCTATATTTCTGCAATAATAGAATATTACAATGTTTGTATGAATCTTTGCATAAATGTTACTCAGAAAAGTGTGCTTATTTGTAGGGCTGCGGAAATTAACGATTAATTTCTCGATTAATCGTTAAACTTTTTGATCGATTAAAATTGTTTTGATCGCTAATGAAAACACTCGCCTCTCCGCCGGCTTCCGGGAGTCCCGTCGGAGATCCGGTGACGTCACGGACATGGACGTCACCGGACTCCTCCCCCATTCCCCAAGTAGCCAACGAAGGGAAGGGGGAGGAGTCCGGTGACGTCGATGTCCGTGACGGCTAACAAAGGGAAGGGGGGAGGAGTCCGGTGACGTCGATGTCCTCTTCCCTTCGTTAGCCGACGGAGCTACTTGGGCCGGTGAGTTTGCCCAAGAAACCTTCTGCACGAGCGCCAGCCACAGACATCCCAACTCTCCCGGACGCTCCAGGAGTCTCACGCTATTAGATAGCGGCCGGGAGAGAAACACTTCCTCCCGGAAAGGTTTAATCTGCTCGATTAAACCTTTCCCTGCGATCGTTTTTTTTTTTCTTTTCTGAAAAGAAAAAAAAGGCATACGAATGCATAGCTAGATTCCTATTGGCTATTGCACTTTGCAATAGCAAACTAGCTAATGCACCCGGCAGAGGGGGACCTGAATTTTTCTATCAGGTCCTCTTCTGGTGATTGAAAACAGCAGAGGGCGGGTGCAATAGCTAGTTTGCTATTGGCTGTTGCAAAGTGAAATAGCCAATAGGAATCTAGCTATGCATTCTTATGCCTTTTTGTTTTTTGTTCTGACGACTGCAACTGTCAGAATACTAAAAAAAAACAACAACAAAAAAAACATGCAGATGGCAAATAAGCTATTGCTTCCTGTGCTATCTGCCATCATTTCAGGGGGGTGCTTTCTCCCAGCCCCCCCCTAATCCCTCCTCCGCGGATGGCACCTCCCTGAAATGAGAGGGACACCTCCATGAAATTGCTTTTTTCAGGTTGGGATCACTGCAGCCAAGGCATTGGCCTATACACATACAGCACAGCAATGAAGTAATAAAATGAACTAGGATCACACTAATCCAGCACGTTATTATTCTCAGTTGCCCCACTCGAGCGGCGGCCATATTGAGTGGGGCACGTGAGATTAATAACGTGCTGGATTAGTGTGATCCTAGTTTATTTTATTCATTGCTGTGCTGTATGTGTATAAGCCAATGTAGTTCGATCTGTATGTGCGTTATAATTAATCGATCGATTTTTAAAAAAAAATTGATTAATCGAACACGAAAATTTTAATCAGTAACAGCCCTATTTATTTGTTGAACATGCTAAAATAACAAACTCCTAAGAAAATCCTACTTTTAGAATTGTATAATACAGTGTACAGAATTCATCAGCCTTAAGAATGTAATAGATAACACAGTGTACATAGTGAAGCAGTATGCGGTGTGCCATTACATTGGGAGCAGTCAGCAGAGAAGTGTGCAGTTACATACCTGATGGCCATCGAAGAAGTGTGCTGTTACATTGTCTCCACTGTCAATGGAGAGCTCTGTGGGTGTAGTGGTGGTCAGTGGAGAAATGGTGCAGTGATGGTCATTGTAAGTGCAGTGGTAGTCTGTGGAAGTGCAGTGAACCATTATATTGGCAGTTATTGAAGAAGTGTGTGGGAGCAGTGGTGTTCAGTGAAAAAATCTATTGGTGCTGTGGCAGCCCATATAGAAGTGTGTATGTGCAGTTGCAGTAGACGTGTATGGTCAGAAATGGTTAGTAAATAAGTATATGGGTACAGTTGCAGTCAATGAAAAAATAAATGTTGGGGAATTGACATAATTTTACAAGTGGCAGTCAGTGGAAAAATGCAGGGGTATAATGGTGGTCAGTGGCGAAGTGCATGTCAGTCATTGTAGAAATGTTCAGGTGTAGTGGTGGCCAGTGGAGAAGTGTGTGGTTGCAGTGGGGGTCATATAAAGTTTTATATATATATAAATTCTAACCCTAAAGCCAAACCTCTGGAAATAATAATTTACACACTGCACTGAGTATGTAAATTAACATTAAAAAGACATATGTTATGTGTGGTGGGCTGCTGCAAAGTATACAGCGTACAGTATAGTATACGCATAATACTTCTGCTGGCTTCCAAGCGCTGCTGGGAGTGAAGGATGCGACTGGAGTGGAGCAATGTGCTCCAGTTGGATCTCTACTTATCTTCTCTATTGCCCATTCAGAAAATACCTTGTATTTTTTTTTGTTTAAATCCTGCTCTGTGTTTTTATGCAATTTCCAGCAAGTGCACCTTCCTTACAGCTTATTGGTACTGAGGAGAAAAAACAATCATACCATATCACATCAAATGAAAAAGAGAGACTGAGACCCCAAGCATAATACTTAACCTGAGCCCAGCTAAACGTAATCCTCAACTTCAACATACCCATTAACCTAACCCGTAGCTATTAAATAGTATCTAATGCCCAAAACAAACATTTTATATATTGCAGCTTACCAGTTCTTAGATGTGGTGGCTGCATTTATTTTCTTCTTTTGTTTTTTTTTCCCTTTATTTTTTATCTGATCCTCCAAACAACACATGCCCTGTACCTTTGGGGGAAGCCATAGGTGCCACTCAGGCTGGACTGCAAACATGTCTTCCTTTGTACATCTCCATTACATTAGGGCTGATAGGATTAGCAGTTTACAGAAGAAAGAAGATGTTATTTGTGCTTTCTGTTAAGATGACAGGAAGTGACAGACACTGTATTTCTGGCAAGATCAACAGGTGACTTTTGTACATGCTGAATATGCTCTTGCCCTGAAAAAGAAAGGAAAACTAGTGCAGCTACTATATCTAAGGGCTGGTAAGGCACAGTCTATTACATTTTTGTTTTTGGGTTTAGGTTTCCTGTAATTTAATAACTGACTCTAAAATGTGTCCTATCCCTCAGTTTCTAGTGAGCTGTAATCTAACATTGGTAATAAATATTGGTAATAAATATGACAGAAATGCTACCTATGCTTCTGGCAATGGTACCACTATGCCAAAAATGTTACATGTCTAAACAAACCTGAGCTACACCATATGAGCAATGAAAACAATGGAATCTGCCAAAGTATCCGTGCTATATATAGAGTATATACAGTATTTCTGTTGTACTGTTTTGTTCCTTCTAGTATTAGTCATACAGAATATCCTCTGCATGAACTGAACACAGTAAAATCCTTAGCGTGAACATGAGCAGCAGGGTAGAATGCTGAACTGTAATGGAAAAAGCAAAGGCATTTGATGAAAAAAGATTAATGAGGTGGTATAATTATTGCACTATGTGGCTTGGCAATACAGAAAGTACAATAGTCATTTACAATATTGTGGGCCATGCTGAACCAATCAAAACTAATGGTGAAATGTACCATGTTGAGTTTGGACAATACTGATATATTGGCTTTTAGGTAAATTATTGGTGTGCGGCATTCTGCGTGTTCTTCATACAGTAACACAGGCAGATGGAGGAGGGATCGGTATGGAAATCTTTGAACAAGTTTGATGTTTTGCAGTCTTTGCGTGACTAGACCGGATCCCTTGATAAGCTTTGGCTGTGTTTAAGTACTGAACTAAAGTGACAGTCTGTAAGAAGATAACTGGTTCTAAATAGGAGCAAATTCCATTTTAGAAGGGAATCCTTAATGGATTATTTTCAGAACAAGCCTGAATTGATACCACATGATTGGCATTTTAGGGGACATAATCTGGACTTTCTGAGCACCATTTTGATGATACTTAGCTGCCCAGCAGTGATCCCTTGAGGTAGTCGTCTTAAGAATATCTTCTTATCATCTCTCTCAAAGAAATTAAATGATTATAACGTTGGTAATCTGTTTTCTGGCATATACTTGTACTGACCTGATTAATTTAAACACATGTAAGAAAATACAAGATTGTGTGCACAGAATATTACCTTTTTAGTTTTCTTTTCAATTCTTATTTATTAAAACCCTCCTGGTAAGTGGGACTGTAATAAGAAACTTTTTACAGTAGTAGGGCAGGAGGTATCAGTAGTGGCAATTAAAGTTAACCTTTCATTATAGAAATACAGTCATGGCCATTGACACTAGCTATCTGGCTATCGGTATCTTTCTCTGATTTCAGCACTTAGTGAGTGACTGATCTGGACCATGTATGCGGCCAGTGAAGTCAAAACTCCCAAGCCAACAGATAAGCCTTTCAGCCAGAGAAATACCAACTGCTAAAAGAATTTGGGAGTGGCAGCACCCTTGTTTCTGCCATGACAAGTTCACTTTAAACAAGAATTCAGTTGTATATTTGTGTCTTCTTTTTAGCATGTAAACACTGAAGGAGAACTCACCATTTCTAAGCCACCTACAGGCGCCAGTCTGGACATAGATGTCCAGATTAAAGTTTGCAGGATCAGTAAGCAATTTGTCTAATATGTCAGTATGACATTGAGGTCTGAGAACTAGGAATGCATTCAGGTGAACATTCCTAGTTCCTTGCTGCAACATTAACAAACATTCTCACTCATTAAAGTCACAATGACTGGCTCTGATAACAGGAACCCTAAATGTAGATTTCTGCCATTACTTGCTCTTTTTCAGAAGTCTACTTGGAAGGCACGCACACAAAGCTAACCTTCATAACCATGTTTGAACAAATTTAGATGATAAGGTAATGTTTTTTATTTCAGGTTTGTGAATATCCGGACAAAACTAAATCTTTAAAGCTTGGAGACTTTGGCTTGGCAACTGTAGTGGATGGTCCCCTGTACACTGTGTGTGGTACACCAACATATGTCGCTCCAGAAATAATTGCAGAAACCGGGTAAGTTCTTAAACCTATCTCCTGCGTGTTTGGTCACTTACTGTATCTATTACTGCTACCAGGAGAATTAATAATAAAATGATTAGCTGACAAATAACAAGCATCATATACTGTATGTGCATGATCCTTCTAATTGTATTTTTTTTTCTTTTTATAGAAAAGTCTGTTTTTATATATCACACAAAATAATGGCAGCCTAAGCTGTTTTAATAGATATTTCTCATCACCTTGCTTTTTACTTCTTCAGGTATGGATTGAAAGTTGACATATGGGCAGCTGGTGTTATCACGTATATCTTACTGTGTGGATTCCCACCTTTCCGCAGGTAAAATCTCTTATATGAGAAAAACAAATAGCATTTTGGCTTAGCACGTTTAATCTGACATTCACAAAACATTTACTGCAAGTGAATCTTTCTGGGGTATGGGTGTTTAACCCTTTTACTGCTGCCATTATATGCCAACGCATCAGGGCACTGTAAGCAGACTCCCAGCAGTCTGTTTTCATGTGTAATGCCAACTGCAAAGCTTTTACACTGGAAGCAATCATTCCATGTGCTGTCAGAGGTGATTGCTTGGTTATTATACATGTTGATGTATGCCTATAAACTTTGTATTGGTGCCAATTTTCGCTACTTTTCTGAGCACATGCTCCAACATATTGTATTTCTTTGAGTTTGACAATGAGCGCTTTCATCACTGGCTGTAACTCAAATCAATTCTTTGGAGTACCAGACCTGGAAAAAACATGCAGAAAATAAATTAGTAAAAATTCCTTGTCCCTATGCTTGGTCCAAGATAATGACTTAGAATGTACTGAAGCCAAAGTATCAGCAAGACAGTCAGTAAAATATCATTTCCAAGAGGAAGTGTGAACAATGACAGTCAGCATATTTCTTTTGTGGCCAATTAAACCCATACACTTACCAAAAACCACAAGAAACACGTAGATGTTTTTTAGGGCTCATTGGTTTTGGCCAGTGTTATTTATTCTTAGACTTGAGGAACACATGATATAAATGCTGAGCAATATTTTGTTTAAACCTATTGTATAGACCAGGCTTCTGTGTACACACTCACTAGGACCCCTGGTACTGGCCGTATTTTGTGAAAATAATACATATACAATACAAATCAAAAAATACAAGTATATCCAATATACTAACTTAACTTCTCCCCCAATAATGATCATCAGACAATAGTTGACTAATCTGTCTAAAATCCGCTGGGTCAGGAAATGGTTATCATTTGTGGGCACTTGTACCCATAACCCACAGTTGTGATTGTCCATATAGTTTAAAACAGCCATTGGTTTGGATCATGGCAGCACCTGGACTTTTGCTTGTAATCTGTTTTTCACATAGTAAAGCCAGTCATGGCTGCACTTTATACAGTATAGCTTTAACACGTTGTATGTAGCTCTCTACCTTCTTCCCCAATATAGATTATTTGAATATCAACTGATGCTGAGACTTGAAACACCCACTTTATAACATTTTAGGACATTTTTAGAGTGGTAGGGGACCATGAAGCATGGGGATGCAGGTATGAGTAGCAGGGGAGTGGGCTATTAAATTAACCTGTTACATTAGAGCAAAACAGGAACTTTAAAGTATTATATTTCTTATTAAGACAGATTTATTGAAACAACAGATGAGTAAAAAGTACACTTATATCTAATAAATGCATGTATATGTAGGAAAAAGATGTCATGCTTTATAGATTTATAATAAAGTGCTATGAATACATTTATGGGAAATAAACTTGCACTCCCTATTTTGCCTGTACATAGAATATTTAGCTTTGCTGTATTGTCACTTATTTTCTGAGCACATCAGTCTGCTTCCATGTCACAGCTAACTAGTGACACTGGAACACACAGTGACCCTATACCAGTTACATACCCCTGGCTGTCAGAGATATTAATTATTATGAATATTTCACATCATTCATATATGGACCTCCGTTAACAGAAATACCTAAGCTGAAACCATAATGAATATGTATAGACTGTATCCAATTTAAATTCATAATGAGAGACATAATTATTATTATTATACAAGATTTATATAGTGCCAACAGTTTGCGCAGCGCTTTGCAATATAATGAAGACATTACAATCACAATACAAGACAAGATGGTAAGGAGGGCCCACAATCTAAAAGGGAGGGGCAAGTGATGCATGAGGAGGTAGCTGTTTGGGGATGAATTGTTTGAGAACGTGATGGTTGAGCGGTTAGGTTGAGGTGGGATAGGCTTCCCTGAAGAGATGAGTCTTAAGATTTGGGTAAAGAGTTCCAGAGGATGGGAGAGACTCTAGAGAAGTCATAGAAGCTAGCATGGAAGCAGCTGAGGGAACTGGAAAGCAGGAGGTCTTTGGAAGAGCGGAGGGGACGGTTAGGGTGATACTTTGAGACAAGGTTTGAGATACAGCCGGGGGCAGAGCTGTGGATGGCTATGTAAGTGGTTGTTAATATATTGAGTTTTATCCTTTGGGCTATTGGAAGCCAGTGGAGGGAATGGCGGAGGGGGGTTACAGACACTGAGCGATTGGTTAGGTGAATGAGTCTAGCAGCAGCATTCATGATAGATTGAAGGTGGGATAGCTTGTGTAGATGTAGGCCAATGAGGAGGGAGTTGCAATAGTCAAGTCAAGAGATAACAAGTGGTTCTTCACAGTTAGAGCGGTTAGGGTCTGGAACTCTCTGCCGCAGGAAGTGATTTCAGCTAAGAGTGTGGATACCTTCAAGAAACTCCTGGACGAGTTCATTGGAGACCATAACATAAAGGGGTACAAGTACTCTTAAGAGCAAAATCACACATGGACTCGTATACACGCACACACCTGCTCAAACATAAATGCATACACGCAATAGGTTGGACTTGATGGACTTATGTCTTTATTCAACCTCAAATACTATATAAGTGAGTCGATGGGTAGTTTAGTGGTTTCATTGGTGAGGAAGGAGCATATTTTGGAGATGTTGCGAAGGTGAAGGCGGCAAGATTTGGTTAGTGATTGGATGTGGGGATGACACCTAGCACCTTGGCATGGGGGGAGGGCTTGATAGTTGTGTTATGAATCTCAAGGGAAAAGTTGGGGGAAGGTGCACGGGCGGGAGGAAAAGCAAAAAGCACACTATTTACATGATTATTATACTGTATATGATCCACGATTCTGAATATCACCTCAAAAGTTATTGACCCAGATTGTACCCCCCATAAAAATAACATACATAAATCTTCTGGTGCAGAGTTATTAT